CGAGAAAAACACAACAAAAAAGAAGTAGAGGATTAAAAGAAGAAAGAAAGAGGGGAAGAGGGCGGGTGTGATGAAGGGGGGTGGGGGGGGGGCGGGGGGGGGGGGGGGAAGGCGGTCTTAACAAAACCTTTTTGGCCCTTCTGGCCTCAGTTTGGTATAAAAATAGGGGGTAGGGGGTGCCCCGGATCCGTACAGAGATTCCCTGACGTCTTTCATATTGTACTTGTAAGCAAGATACAAAGCAGCAGTACTAGGGAAAAAATGGAAATAAAAGGGACAAGTGGATAAAAGTTAACCGAAATATTCCAGTCGGCCCAAACCGAAATGGTCCATTTCATTTGATTTCTAAACAAATCTTCCAGAATTTTGGCCTAAATGGAAAGCACTCAAGGTCTCTTTGCATGTTTCTCCCACTCAGATAACACAGGGTTCGCGCTAGACTGCAAAACAGTCCGAATTTTTGCGTGTTCAAGTACGCGCGAGCTGTCAAACAGAAGGTCTGGAACGAGGCTGAAAACAGAGAGCGAGACTGGGGAGAGACGCTAAAAATACGTTTGACAGAGAAGCAACGCTAAAAACTGCTTTACCGGATACAGCGTCAAGATTCGAAGCCAAGTGAAGACATGAAAAAAATTCTTGAACGCCAATTACGGTAACCCTAAAAAATATTCATACTATGGCCTAAAAGAATTCATGCAACGAATTTGATAACAAAAAAAATTCCTGCGGCCCGAAAATTCCCCTTCCCCCCCCACCCCCCCAATAACTTTGCTAATGGTCGGTACCTAAAACGCACTGTTCTCCCTCGAAATCAGTCACCAAGTGTATCAAATTCACAAAGAGGGTGGAGTTGTGAAGAGATTAAATTTTTTGATAGCTCGACGACATTTTTGAACCCCCTGGTCGGAACGAAACGGACAGTCGGTTTTTTTTTCTCTCGCCTCACACGCCCTACGACTCTTACGCCACGCTTTACCGATTTCTTTACTGATTGTGAGAAAAAAACCGACTTTTTTGCAGTCTAGGTTCGCGCAGATTTTGGATCCCAACTTCAAGACTTTTTCTAGACTTTTTTCCAAAACATTAATTTCATTTTCCAGATTCAAGGTTATCAAATAGGTGATCAATAGAGACCTTAAAAAAATGCACTGTAGACGTATGGGCGAGATTGAATAAGATTTGACCAAAACGAAAAAAAAAAAACAACAACGACAACACTAATAAAGCACTTGTTGCAGCTTTTTACCATTTTTACAGACTTAATCTCCATTTTCCAGACTTTTTCCAGGTCTGGAAAATTGCTGGGCAAAGACGTTTTCAAGAATTTAAGGCTCTGTACGAACACTGATAACAGGAGACTGCACCGAAAAGTCACCTTGGAGCCTAAACCAGTTAAGAGAAAGTCTCAAGAGACGAGAAAAATGTAGTAATATTGACATTTTGTCCCTACCTGATGCTGATTAGAAATCTGAGTTATGGCATCAGCAAGCTGCTGGCGATAACTTCTTCTGATTACATTCACACGCTAAAAACATGGACAAAGGAAAAATTTCAGGTGTAGAACCATGATGATAACTTGTTTATAAATTATTAATGACACTAAAATATATCTATCCTCTCTGTATACCAGCTGCAATGCATGTACTAGAAGTGTAGTTATGAAAAAATCAAATTATCTTAAATAACAAATTATAGCACAGGCTGCCCAGCCTCATGATCAGTGGTTACATGTACATATTATGACATAATTATAGTGAATTTGGCTATAGATTCAAGAAGATCCCATTACTTGTCTTTTGCATTGGACTGTTATGTTACGAATCAATGTGGTTACTTTCCCAACCCAGTGCAATATCATAAAAAAAATCAATTTAACCCATTCTCCCCTGGAGATTTTGCCGAAAAACCTGTTTTGAAGCAAGTCAAGTGGTTTTCTGGTCACTGTTGTGCTATAAAGAGCTAAGATTTACCACAAAGCCCTTTACAGGTTGTACACTTCATGGCCTTCTGATCCAAATGAAGAATATTAGCTTGCAAAGTTCGGGCACATGCAGAAAGCAAAATTTTGAGATAGTTGTTGGGTTTAAAAGTGACACACCAGTCTTGACTTTTACTTTTCGCTTTCTCTCCTCCCCTCTTTTTTCGTTTTTCTTGCCTCATTTTTAGTAAGCTTCATTTTGGTGGAAAAAGTTTTGAGGAAAGCTTTTAGGATCTTAGGACTAGATGAAAGGAAAGATAGGGGGGTTAACTGGAGCAAAATTTTCATGGAAATTTTCAGGTCCTTCACTGAATTATGCTCATTCTGGTATGGTTTGAAAGAACTCTTCACTCTGTACAAGTTAGCGGACAAAGCTATCCTGGACAATTAAAATTGATGATGTCACAAGCGGTAGAAAGGACATGGATCTGCACAGGCGGTTATAGGTGGCTCAGGGGTGAATGGGTTAACTTTTCCATACTTTTATTTATTACAGCTGTATACATGTATTGTCTGAGATGCAAGATGAAATTCTGGAACTATTTGCCCTGACATTTTATTCAGAGCAAAGTTCAGGGTTTGTACAGATTTTTGGAACCAAAATTCAAGACTTTTTCCAGACTTTTTTCCAAAACAATCATTATTTCTTTTTCTAGACCCAAGGTTATCACATAGGCGATCAATGGAGACCTTAGAAAACGCAGGAACAAAGTTTTTTTGTGTGGTTCACTGCAAACATATGGGTGATATTGAATGAGAATCAACCAAAACAAAAAGAAAATTCACTTTTTAAAAAGCACTTTCTGTAAATGTAAAAAAAAAACTCAAGACCTTTAAAAATTTCTTCCAGACTTTCTTGCCATTTTTGAGACCTTTTCAAGAATCCAAGACTCTGTACGAACCCTGAAAGTTTCTGTTTCAGCTTCATGTACTCTTCAGTTAGAAAAAATGGTTTACTTTAATATTAAGACATCCTCTGTCGTAATGCAGGGAATTTAACCTTCAACTTCACTAACCTCTTCATGTTGTTTCTCCAACTCCAGAATTCTGTCATTTACTCTACAATATCTGCAAGTGACAAGTTTGAGCACACTAATATTAAATTTGTGCATAATATTGATGGAATTGTGTAGTTTATCTATATACAATCAAGATGTTTTTGATGTTAATTAATGATCGTAATACACTCAGATTGTAAGTATGAGTTTGGATATCCAAGCTAATACAGTGTAATTGACACAAAAATATGATCACCATGAAAATGAAGATGAAATAAGCTGTGTCAATCATTTGATGAAATATACTTGCAGCAAAAGACTCAATAGTTCAGTATTAAGAAGAGAAGTCCCAGCAAAAATGGGCTTTACAAGGAGACGAACAACCCTAGCATGTCTTTTGATGATTTCATGCAGGGAAAGGAGGCATGGAGTTATTGATGTCAATCATGACAATGTTCAAAAAGGCCACTATTAAAACACAGTCTGTATGCCAGGTGGAAAATGAATCAAACACATGCTCAATGAGAAAGGTTATACTCACAAGTCCAAAGCCCTTTCCTGAAGCTTGTTTTCATAATCAGCCTGAAGAACATGTTTTGCATAGTGCAAACTCCTTTTCAAAGTCTCTATGTCCTAAAAAGATTGGGCATTGAAGAAAAATCAGTGATGATGACAAAAGTGNAATCAAACACATGCTCAATGAGAAAGGTTATACTCACAAGTCCAAAGCCCTTTCCTGAAGCTTGTTTTCATAATCAGCCTGAAGAACATGTTTTGCATAGTGCAAACTCCTTTTCAAAGTCTCTATGTCCTAAAAAGATTGGGCATTGAAGAAAAATCAGTGATGATGACAAAAGTGGTTATTATCAAGGAACAGGCTATTGTCAAAGAAAATAGACCTTGTCACGGTTTTCGACGCCATCTTGACGAGTAGGCAAACGCGTGAGAAATTACAGTGTTTGTATGAGAATCCAATGTCGAATAATTTCAGTAAAACAGCCGTTCTGGAAAAAATATGAACTGTAAACTAAAGCTACATAGCAAAGGATTTTACCAACAAATTTTGGGGGCTGTTACTGTGCTTAAATTTCACCAGAAGCTTGCTTTAGATTTTCCACATATTTGTCTGCAATTTTTCCCGGGAAATTTTTATAGACAAATGTATAGAAAATTAAAAAAAGGGTTCTAAGTCTTCTAGTGCATATAACGCCCTCAAATTTTTTCAGTAGAATCCTTAAAAGCGAAGCTTTAGTTTACAGTTCAAATATTTTTTAAAACAGTCGTTTTACGGAAATTATTCGACATTAGATTTTCATACAAACACTGTAATTTCGCACAGGTTTGCCTACTCGTCAAGATGGCATCAAAAACTGTGACAAGGTCTATTTAAGAAAGAACAGTTTTCAGCAGTCTGTAAGATCATCAAGATTGATTGCTTGCTTTAATGGCTGGCCATCTTGGTCTCATTGCTGCGAGCCCCCAGGTAAGTAGAACACTAGTCTTTGGGTTTCCTGTGATTCCTTGGGTGACCTTCCACAAATTAGGCACTTCACTCTAGATTTATGATTGTCAGGATAATTTTTAGCTTGCGTAGGTCAAGCAGTGTCATCATAATGTATGCTGCTTCGTGTGCACATCTTTGCTGTCCAGATCAGAAGATGAGGACAGGGAAGACATGCAAGAAGAGAAGCAATTCTTTGACTTGCAAGTTCCTTCTTATAAACACTTTATTGCAAACAAGTTTTCAAGCAACACAGTTCTAACTAACATACATGCATCAAATTCAAGGTATTTAGACCTCAAAAATTTGTAAAACATGATTTATACGCAGCATAAAAATATTAAGTGTCATAATAACTTGCCATTATGATTACTAAGGCCCATTTAAATGTAGCTGTATTAATTATTATTATTCACTGTGTGGTACAGCAGGTAACGATGAACTATACATTATACAGTGTAGATTGTCAGGTCAAAGCACTATCTTTTTCTCAATCTTTACCTGCAATTTTGCACTTAAACCTTACCCTAACAAGATTTTGAAGCACTTCAGTCATTTCTTTAAGCTGTGCAATCTCAGACACTTCTGTCTGTGATGATCTGTCCTGACTGAAATAGCCAATATGAACCTGATCTGCAATTGATGGTCTGTAAAAATCAAAAAGAGAACAGTGGGTGAACATTTTGATGGGTTACATAACTTAGACCTACGAACCAGTAAATGACCAATTTAACTGTGACTTCCTTTGTAGCACACAAAGAAACTGTGTATTGGAAAATATTGTTGTTGCTGTTGTTTTTATTTTTTATCTTGCTTGTTTAATATTGCTTTTTAATTTGGTTTTGAGAGACGCTGCAAGTCTTTGAAGAGTTACTACACGACACAAACAGAGACACTAGTAATAAATAAATTATGATGTGAGACGATGTTTACATGTACACGCGATTTACTGAACAGATAGTACACAAGTCATATAAGCTTAAACGTGATTCGAAAAATGTAAACTCCAAGGCCTAGGGTAAATTTGTAACCAGGGCGATAGGAAATGAAACGCAAAAAGTCAAATTATCGATTCCCAGCATTCCCAGTATAAAAGATAGTGGTAATTAAAGACAAAAACACCGCCAGATTAAGAATTCAAGACTGTCAGCTGTTTCTGACAGAACAACAATTAGAATTTGCACAGTTTTTGGTCGAACTTGTCCGGATTTTTTTCTTTTTACCATTCTTTTTTCAGTCATAACAACCCCTTCGAGCAAAATTCATGCTCGAAATCTGCCCTTTACAACACTAACAGATCCTAATCTTTGAATCTTCACAGCCTGCGGTTACGTCAAAAGTCAAGTTGCTCCGGAGCAAAGCGAAAAAGGCAAGAAAAATAAGGGTTTCTACCTGTATTCGTCTAGCTCCATTAAGGCACCAGAAAAAGGAGTTACTGAGGGAGAAATCGAATCGGGTCTTGAAGAAATGTTTTTCATAAATGTAGGAGATTGAGCCGTTTCGGCAGGGGTTTCGGCAGACATCGCGGACCTCCTTTCTGCCGCCATCTTTGTTTTCGTTAATCTTGCCTTGGTAACCGCGTGTGAGGGAGATTTGAAGGGAGAGAGGGAGGGGTAGGTAGGGCAGAAAAATGAGAGCTACTCGTGGTCTAAATATAACAAGAATCGCCGAAAGGCGATTTTTAACTAGGCTGCCAAGGGGCTATTTTTTCTGAGGGAAGGGGGCGGCTATACACACTCAGGCTACCATAAAACCTTGTCGGCAACCATTCCATGCGACAGAACCTCATGTGAGACTGAAACATAAACTCATTCAGAACATTGTACCCTTTTGAAAGACTTTCGTAACCAAAAAAAAAGAGTACCATTTTTAAGTGGGGGCTGTATAATAACTTTTAAATTCCACCATTCTGAATAAAAATAGACAAGTTAGCCATTAATTCTAAGCAGGAAACAATTTGCATTATTTCCACGTACCCCTCCCCTAATTCCTCTATGCCCCAAAATATAGCGTGACAGTATAACGTGAACTAATTTGACGAAACTGGAAAATCCAAAAATTGTTGTCGTTCTAGAGTATAATGAGCTGATTTACACTAGACAGAAATATTGTATTGTATGAAAACCAGAAGTATACTAAAACAGACAGTTAACTGCCCATTGATCCCGCCTGATCCAGGGGCCTCACTGACTGCAGGGAGACTTTACTGCGCTTTTCACAAACATGCGAACTCCAAAGTTCAAAAGCCACCTTCACAATTGTGTTTATCGCTGCCGTCAATCATAATTACGATCACAAGTAACGAACCTTGAAACAGAGAAACACACAAAACGGATCGAAATCCACAAATCACAAACCATGACCTTTTGAACCCGTGAAGTAAAGTTTTGTTTCCTAAGAGGTCCGTTAAGATGATTGACAGCAGCGAAAAACGCA